TGAATATCTTTTACAACTATTTGAGTCTCAACTACCCAGAACTGGTGTCACAGTTTCACAGACGGTCTAAGAATACTACAAGTAAAGGTCTGAAAGAATTAAATACAACACTATCTCTGGAATTACATGTAAGAAACAGGAAAGTAAATAGAAAGAGATGCCAAGGCCTACGGACATCTGCAGGGCTACCTCGGGTCACCTGATGAACAAGGGTCAACAATCACACCGCGGTCCGAAGTCTACAACACTGGGGTCTGCACAAAAGAGTGCAGAGTATAGTATCAGCACAACCGACCCCATGTGCTGGTAAGTGCCTAGCCTAACCTCGGCGAAGTAGTGACGAGGCTAGGACCAGACTATCAAATAAACCTGTGCAGTTATATGATATACAACGGAAAGTAAAGCAGAAATAAGCAAGTAGAGATGGGAGGGGGAAACATGCTCCGGGGAATAACATGTAAAAACAGAATATCAAAAGAAATATAAAGGAATCAAAATCCAACCCCTAACAAGAGTAAGGAAAACAAGGCAGATTTCACTTTCTTTTCACATCTTGTGGTAGGCGTACCACCCGCTCCCATTTCATTATATCTTGTGGTAGATGTACCACCCGCTCCCATTTCATTATATCTTGTGGTAGGCGTACCACCCGCTCCCATTTCATTATATCTTGTGGTAGGCGTACCACCCGCTCCCATTTTATTATATCTTGTGGTAGGCGTACCACCCGCTCCCATTTTATTATATCTTTGTTGCGGCGTGCAACCCGATCCGTATATAATATTGTTGCGGCGTGCAACCCGATCCATATATAATATCTACAATTATAACGAGAGTCTCGACAAGGAGTCAATAAGGTCTACACTAACCCGGCGAGGGATTCGACAACATAAGAAAATATGACCCGGCAAGGAAGAAACAGCTATAACCAAACTTAACCCAACAACGAACAAACAACTATAACCAACTTATTCCAACATCTAACTACTCCAACCATAACTCAACTTATTCCAACATCCAACTACCTCAGCTATAATCGAACTTGTCACAACACCTAACTACCTCCGCTATAACCAAACTTATTCCGACACCTAACTACCTCAGCTATAACCAAAATCCCTACCCAACACAAAGAATCATCAACCTAAGCATCCGAAACATCAATTAAGAACACAATGCAAGGGGACCACAACTCAACAATAGCCCGGCAAGGGAGCAACATAATGATCTCTTCTCTTACTCACTTTTACTTCACAGTTCACTTCACAACTCGAGCCAATGCTCTAGAGGTTCAACTGTCACTTATACTTTCACAATTCGTTCTACAACTGGAGCCATCGCTCCTCAATGTTCATAAGTCACAATCCTTTCCACAACTTTACACAACAAATAGAAATACTCACCAAGGCATGAATAATACAACGAAGTCATGAAAATCACAATATAAGACTCACGGTCATGCTCGACACCAACGTATAGATACTCGTCACCATGCCTATACGTCGTACTCAACAAGAAACAAATAGCAAATAGGACACAACTCCTAATCCCTCAAGCTAAGGTTAGACCAAACACTTACCTCGAACTTCCACGGCCAGCTCAAGCCTCAAACACTGCTTTTCCTTTCGAATTCGGCTCCAAATCAATTGAATCTATACATAATCGACTTAATAACATCAATAAATGCTAAACAATTCAATTCCAATGCTTAATTATAGCTTTCTAATCATTCTTCCGAAAAACCCAAAAATCGACCCCGGGCCCGCTTGGTCAAAACACGAGGTTCGGACCAAAATCAAATCACTCATTCACCCAGGAGCCCAAATATATAATTATTTTCAGAATTCGACCCCAAAACGAGGTCTAAATCACAATTAATCAAAAAGCCCTAGTTCTACCCAAATCCCTAATTTTCTACCTTTAATTCCATGTTTTAAGCCTAGAATCTAATAGATGTTGATGAAAATGAAAGAAAACTAGTTAAAGATTACTTACCCCAAGAGGTTTTGGTGAAAGAATGCTTCAAAAATCGCCTAAGAACCTTGGAGAAGAAAGAGTTTGTGAAATTTTGGTAAAATCCCGTAATGGGTTCTGTTTTTGGTCTTTTAAAATAACTGGGCAAAATGGCCTATGCGATCGTGAAGAATGTAATGCGATCGCATAGTGTAAGGAGAAAATGGTCATTGCGATCGCGAACAGAGCACTGCGATCGCATAGAAGAAACAGGCTGGGCATTGCGATCGCGAATAGCACTATGCGATCGCATAGAGGAAAATATAGGACCTCTCAGACTTAACACTATGCGATCGCATAGAACAAAACTGAACCCCTGAACATTACTCTATGCGATCGCGAGCCTACTTATGCGATCGCATAGTACAAATCACTGGACACCAAAAAGCTGCAGAAAACCAGATTTTTTTTCTAAGTTCAAAACACTCCGACACCTATCCGAAACTCACCCGAGCCCTCGGGGCTCCTAACCAAACATACGTACTAACTCAAAAACATCATACGGACTTATCGGTGCAATCAAATCACCAAAATAACCTCAATAACAATGAATCAAACCTCAAAATCAAGAACTTTTTCTCAAACTTCATCAAGTTTCCAATTTAGGATTTCAAGTCCGAATCACGTCAAACGACGTCTGTTTTTCACCAAATTTTACAGAAACATCTTAAATCATATATAAGACCTTTACCTGGCGCCGGAACAAAAATACGGGCCCGATACCAATACGTTCTAATCAAATTTCATTTCAATTTTCCTTAACAATTTCAGAAAAACAATTTCCTTTAAAAATTCATTTCTCGGGCTCGGGACCTCGGAATTCGATTTCGGGCATACGCCCGAGTCCCATATTTTCCTACGGACCCTCCGGGACTGTCAAATCACGGGTCCGGGTCCGTTTACCCAAAATGTTGACCAAAGTCAAATTTATTCATTTTAACATCAAAACTTAGCATTTTTCACAAATTTTCATATTTAAGCTTTCCGGCTAAGCGCCCGGACTGCGAACGCAAATCGAGGCGACTCTAAATGAGGTTTTCAAGGCCTCGGAGACACGGAATTCAATTAAAAGCAAGTGATGACCCTTTGGGTCGTCACAAATACTAATTACAAAATCTGCATGTTGAATCTTTGTTCAGAAAATTGCATTAGCTGCACCAACAATCTTGGCCATAAACCAGCACACTCCTTTCCAATTGGACCAATGATAGCAGAACCTTTCATTTTCCCGTGGGATTCACAATAACACCGGCATTATCTTCCAAGTACATGAAGACACCATCCTTTCGTCGCCAAGGTTTACGTTGTCTAACAATGACAGCAGACATGACTTTCTTCCTTAAATCAGGCTTCCTTTCTTGACAGTAGCCATCACCATATACCTACAGAATATATTATTCTTTTATATATATCAGTGTAATGTATACTCATTAATTTGATACTATAACCTGCACAATGGCAATTCTAATCTATGCAGGTTGTTACGATGGGATCTCCATTGCATGTGATTGACAGCCTTGCATTTATGCTATGTTATGATTCCTTAAAAATCTTCATTGATGAGCTTACAAAGCTCAATGCTATGTGGTGGTATGTGATGCAGAGAAAGTTGCATTACCCGCCAGGGCAATGATAAAGCAACCTTAGAATTAAAGAGTGGGCAATAGGAAAGGAGGTTAGGCCAAGCAACTTATTTATCTTTTTTCTCTTTTTTTAGTTTTTTTATCATTATTATATTTTCGTAACTCTCACCCCATTATCTTCATAATCCATACTTTTAATAATCTTAATAACTCTCATGTCTTTCGTATCCACGACCCCCAAATATTTAATATGTAAATTTATGACAATTTGTATTTATCTTTGGTCCTTTATTTGTTTTAAAATTTTTATTTTCGTAACTCAAACCTCTTTAACTTCCACTCTTAATAATGTCCATAACTCCGATGCTTTTCATAACCCCCAAATTAAATATTTAATTCAAAATTTAAGATACCTTATGGTTTTCTATTTTTTTCTTTTTCTTCCTCTTTACAAATATTTTGGGTCTTCCTTTTTTCTTTACCAAAGACATTTGTGACAATTTTGATTTTTATCTATTTCAAAATCATAGTATATATAAGTACAACAGAAAAGTTCCAGATTTTATGTTGCAAGGGCAAGAGGAGGATGTCGTCATAATGATTTATTTGTTGCTTATCAAAGACATCTTTACTTCAATTATGTACAATGTTATCTCTCAACATACACAACTAACTTTAGTTTATATCTTTTTCTTCGTACAATTGGTAGCTTTAGTTTATATCATTTTAATTAGAGTATTATATAGTTTAGTACTATTTAGATCTTTATCAATTAGATGACACTTACATAAACTTCATATAATACATAGAAGTATCTGCTCAAAATAAACCAAAATTATAAAATTAACCCAACAGTAATATGCTATATAAGTGTTTTTGCTCTCATAAAAAGAGGGATAATATCTAAATTAGTCTTTAGCATAATGGTCTTTTGATGAATTATGTATGTTCTATAAAACCGCGCGAACCGCGGTCAAATTTACTAGTTATATATAATAGAATAAAATTAGTGTACAGCCAAACCTCTCTATAACAGCCTCGTTTATTCCGGATATTTTTGAATGTTACAGCGAATTGGTATTATAGAAAACAAATATTATAATATAACATGAGATTTGGTTCCAGAAAAACTTGGCTTTTATAGAGAAGTGTTGTTATATAAGGATGTTGTTATAGAGAGGTTTGATTGTATATGAAACTAAATGCATGAAAAAATATCTAGTAAACCATGTTCTTCCGTTCCATCTTTGTCCTTGTCAAAGGCCCAAAGACTACTCCTTTATGAAATCTTGAGGGTTGTCTATGTACCAAATTGGTGTTGGCCACAGCCACTGCCAGTATTTGACGTTATCATTGTATCGTCAGACCTCTATACGTCTACTATCCAAGTCAAAGAACCAAATGTCATAACCTCCCAACTTATAATAACAACAAAGAGATAGAAATATCAAGAACTAGTCTTACTTCAACATTTAGTTCCAAAATACCAACTTCAACTTTGAGTCAATACTCAATCAATACCAAATTCCGTAAAACATGATAAGAGTTGCTCAACATAACAAATAGCTAGTCTAAGCATGAACAATATGATCAAATGGTTTAATCCCAAAAACAACACATTTTCACCTATATTTTCCACCTTATACCAACTTCGACTGCTAGATTCATACATATATAACTTGAAGCGGATTGTTTGATAACGGATATCCCAACCTCTCCCCAAGGATCTGAAATATCGGTGAACCTGGAGCAGCCCAATTGAAGTATTGACCAAGTAGCTCTTTCCATGAAACTCTTTTTTTGTTGGTGGTTCTACAGTTTCAACTTTTTTCGAATAAGGTGCAGACAACTCGAATACATGTACGTCATTTTCAAGTGTCACAGCATATAACTTCTCCTCATTAAAAATAGCATCTTCGTATCCTGTCTGACCTTCGGAAACGGATGTCCATTTTTAATCTCCAAGTTTGCAGTAGGCCAACCAACGATGAACACCATAGATAGCTCATAGCAGCAACCATAAAATTACAAGCTTGAGAAAAGAAAGCTTCAGTACGGCCATTCCAGTTTTTAAGCGCATATTCAGAGCCAAACTTCTTCGCACAATACTTTCTTACATCAGGGAACTTATTCCTCGGTGGAAGGGTGACTTGAACCCTAGTGAGTGGGTTAAAGAGAGAGATTTTGGAATATATCTATTGTATATAACATTGAAGGAATTTCGACGAATTGGTGTCGGATGACACTTCAGCCCAGGTGCCTCCACCCTGTCATGAAATGCACCAAAATATTTTAACTTCTAACCTTTTGAAAGATGGAACAGCATATATACGAATTCTCAAAAAGAGAAAAACTATAATACAATTTGCCACTCTGTTTAGAAACAGGATAAAAGAATTTAAAGGAGGAATAGTTCTCGTCCAAATAACAAAGATGACAAAAACTTGCACTTCAATCCTCACTACCTTCGAATAGATAGGACCCTCTTAAACGAAGTTCATCCGAAACTCTTTTTCTCCTATATGCTTGTTATTTTGTATTCCCCCCCAAATTAAAAAAAAACAAATAAAAGCAACTAAAATTAGTTTTCCTAAAATGCTTTATCCTTGCAATGCATCTTGGTTATGTCAATGTTACTGTCAAAGTGAAAAAAGATTAATCCTTTATTGACCAAAAAAGTAAAAGAATGAGAAGTTAGTCTTGAGTAAAATATACATCTAGCGATTAGCAGCCCAAAACTAGTCCAAAATCAGGATGGTTTAAACATATCCTTCACATACGCGTCTTGTTCTTCATTTGAAATAACAAACAGAATTTAAAAGCACTTGAGAAGAAAGTACTCTTACAAGTTATTTGTTACTCAGATTGTTTTGATCTAAGCTTTTCCCGTTCTTTTGTTGCGTTCTCTCTCCCTTCAGTAGAAAAAGGACAAACTAAGCTTTCAATATAGATTTCCATAAGAGAACAATCACCAGAGTTAGTAACATATGTGTATCTGACCGAGTGATCTTTTGAACTGTATATCATGAAAGTTGATCCAAACACCACCAATATTTCACGTTTACTTGACATGAAAAAGGGTGGATACAAATATTGACCTTTTGGATACTCGATGGTAAACATCTTTACCCAAGATTCTTTAACCCCATACTCCTTCATAACCCAAGCACCTAAATAAGTTTCTTCATAACCACAAAAGACAGAAAGATCACTTCCCATCATTCCCACACACAATTCATTCTCTCCAACTAAGGGCTTCTCCAACTTTTCCCATTTCTCATTAGCTAAATCAAAAGAAATGATGTTCTTGCCCGTACGCACAACTGGACCAGAAGTAATAGTATCCCAATGAAGCTTCCCATTTACAAACAAACCTGAACCAGTTAGTTTCATTTTTTGAGAAGATCCTGAGGCATTTAATATCTCCCCACAATAATCAACGCTAGTCCAAGAATCACTCTTTAGACTATACATTTTGACCTCCACGTAATCTGAACCGCCATAATTATTAAAAATACCTATTACCTTATAATCATCATGGAACTCATCATATCCAAAACCATATACGGCATAGTTATTTATCTTCAATCTAGGTCTAAAATCAGGCAATTTCTTGCACTTTCTAATTGTTGGATTCCATAGTAAAGAATATTCGGAATAGTGGGCAAGCAAAATCAATCCATTGCAAGAACCCACAATACTGATATCTTTACTGGCATTTTTAATGGGATAAACCAAGTCAAAAACCTCGTTAACAACAGAGTCACAAAATAAAGAACTAAGAGGACAATCTTTAAATTTCCATTTAGGTCCACTAAGACCTAATATAAGCATATGGTGGGTTTCTTCCTTGTTTTTATTAGCTGATAAGCTCAGATGGGTCTTGATAAATTCAGGGCTAGAGATTATAGCAAGCCAAGATTTTGAAACAGACCTGAATTTCAAGAGAGATTTGACTGGAAGTTTTGAGAGGATTTCAGTGATGAGTTCTGGTGGAAGAGCAGGGATTGTCAAATTTGAATCTTGAATTGAATTTGATGGAAATTGAGCTCGTTTTGTGCGTTTTCTTCCCTTTGGATGTCGATTGGAGGCTGAATTTGATGGCAATTGAGCACGTTTTGTGTGTTTGCTCCGCTTTGAGTGTCGATTGGAAGCTTCGTCTCTCTCAGATTCCATTAGGGTTGCAGAAATTTGAGCTCTTTGAGCTTTTTGTTTACGAGGAAGAAGGTTTCGACATGTTTTGTGCAACTGAATTTCACTTCCTTAAATATTGTATTGTAGTGTTACTTTAAATAGTACTAATATTTTAATAATTTTTTAAATTTTATCATATCATTAAATTTATCGTCCTTATTTTTAAATAATTTTATTTTTTTATCCTACTTTTTATATAATAATTTTTTGTAGTATTAAAAGTTTATTTTTTATATTGTTGGTACATGATATTATATCTAAATATAGTATATATATATATATATATTAAAACAATTCAGTACAGTACTATACAATATCATACGGTACATTATGAAACAATACATAATAGACATTCAAACAAGTTGTTAGCACTACAACGATTAACAAACGGGTATATATTAGTATCTCACCCAACTTAATCAGTATTCACAATACTCTCTAACAAAATCAACCCCATACTCAAAAGCTCAAACTCTGAACAATTTCATACTCACTACTTAAACCCGATACCTTTGTCAAGGACGAAAGGGTATTTAACACTTCACCGTAATCTTTGTTGGTCTATATCTAAATTGCCTCGTAAAAGATTGAAGAATCGAAATCGACATTTATAAGGAAAATGAAGTGCTTTGACTGTTATACTTCAAATTGTGTCAGCGTATAGTGACATGATAGGTATATTCCTTATTGTGAATATCTTAGTTTTCTTTTAAGTAAGAGTACTACACATTTCTAAATGTTAGAGTAGTTCAAATTACGATATGTTATTTAAGTGTTACATAATAATATTTAAAAATTTGGATTAACAATATAATCATTAAAATTAAATGATTACTAAAATATCTTCAAAGGTTGTATTTTCTTATATGAAGAGTTAGAATTATACTTGCCAGATTAATACAAAGCAAGCACGAAAAAGAGCAAAAAAGGACATAACATTCAATACAATAGACAGAACAAAACCATATCGAGATCTTAATTGTACTGACTTTGGTATGATTGTACTGACTTTGGTATGATCTCCTTCAAGTGTTAGAGGTAATTTTAATACAATGCAAGATGCCAAATGAAGTTTAAGACAGGGTTAGGTGACAGCATGGTAAATGTTCAGCAAAATATGGTTTTTGAGAAATCTTGTTACTGCCAATATAGTAAAATTGTTAGGCCAAAAATCACGTGATACGCTCTTGCCACTAGACGAAATCCTCAAGAGCCACATCCCTCCTAGTAATTCCCCCAAGATAACGGTATTCCTATTAGAAAATGTTGAGAAAGTAGAATCCTCCCAAGAATAAGGAAAACATGAAGAAATAAGATTAGTAAATACTAAGGCAGCCCGTGCATGAAGCATCCCGCGTTTACGCAGAGTCCGGGGAAGGGCTGCACCCCAAGGGGATGTGATGTAAGCAGCCTACCCTGATGCTTTTATCAGTGGAAGTGGTTGATTCTACGGCTAGAACCCGTGACTTATAGGTCACACAGAGACAACTTTACTATTGCTCACCGAATAGTAAATATTAGTGCATCTTTAAGTACAACAGTCCATGATCTCCAAAGGCAAAAGTTCTATAAATGACTTCTTTATCAGTTAAGCTTTTCACTATAAGTGAACAAGTTTCTAAAAGTATAAGATTTTCTAGTAATGTGGTTAGTATATATTAGCTATATAGCAATGTGACAAATGCAGTTAGGCTGCTGCTAACAAGAATCAACGTCCAACCTCGGCCTGTCTGAAATGCTGTTTGGAATCTCTCTGAAACTAACTTAAGAATTGCAATACATGCAAAAGATAAGCTGATTGAAAACACAGCCAACTCTTTCTTTTCCAAACTCTCTTGGTCATTCACAACCTTTTCGACGTCTAATCTGCAAAAAGTTCAAAGCAAAAAACAGCAAAGAAAAATCATGTCAGACTAGAGCTAACGTGTCACAACTTACAATCGCAATCTTCTCAGTTTGAAACAAAAACACACTATATGCACGAGGTTTTATCATCCATTTCAATTTTCATTGCAGTTGTTACCAACTAGCATAGCACATACAAACTTAATATCAATCTCTCACCTGTAACCAAAATATGATTCAAACCTATTTCAGAATTTAAATTTGAAGTCTGAATTTCTATTGCAACATTTGCTCAGAGCCCCAAGCTGGCATCCTGAGTACCTAGGTCCTTGTTTCACCATTCTGACGTCTCAGCATCTTTAGTATATCGCTGAATCGGCAACAGGATATTAGGGGAACCTAAAGAACCGGATTGAAGTGAGTTTTATCATTAATATTACACTTCTTACTGATACCTACAAAGTCATTTGCCCTCATAGGGGTCCAGAAAGTGTCATGAGCTTTGGTCCTTGTAAACAAGCAATGTCAACAAGCATTCCCATCCTTTCTCTATTTACCCTTTTGTCAGCGTCAACAAAACTATTTTCATCTTATTTTAGCTGATTACGACTCAAATCGGGTATGATGCAGAAACATGTAATGTTTCAGAATTGCTTACTCTATCATTTATTTTCTGTTAGATTTTACAAGAGGATCTTTCCCGGTCACCTTCTTGTTCCATCACTAGTTAGGAAGAACAAAATAAGGAGATGGACTCTTTCTACAAACAATATTTTAGCTTCTTGATCAGTTATTCTGTGCTTTACACAAAAAATTGCTCATTATTCAATGGTTTCTCAAAATCATTTGCCAGCACATGTAGAGAAAACAGCACCAAGAATAGCAATGAAAATGAAGCTTAGTCCATATCCCCCTTAGTTAAACTCAGATGCCCCTTATGATCCAATAATAAGTAATTAGCAGGGCAATGCATTGCCTATGATACACCCAACTCAAACAGAATTCTTTAGTGAAAGTAACTGAACACCAAATTTCTCATGGTATTTAAATCCTTCTTTTCTTTTTGGTGTTGTAAAAGGTTTGCCAGAAGAAAGTACTCTAGTATCAAAAGCACCTGTATGGATGTTAATCTGGTGCATATCGACACACTTTTTAATGGATCACAGATCACACTGACTTGTAGCAGAGACAAAACAACGACGACAACAAACCTAGCTTACTCCCACAAGTGTGGAGTCTGGGGAGGGTAGTGTGTACACAGACCTTACCACTACGTGGTAAAGGTAGAGAGGTTGTCTCCGATAAACCCTCGGCTCAAGAGAAGGTGAATTAGCCGTAGCAGTGACAAAATGAACAGATTAAATTGTCACTTGGCCTGTTGAAATGCCACATTTTCTTATGGGTCACAAATCTCTCACTTATAGCACAGACAAAATGAAGAGACGTTGAATTGTCACTTGTCCATGTAATGCAATTTGACTGATTCAGTGCATCAAAACTGAATCACTACAAAATGGCCTCATTCATAGAGACTTTTGTTAACTCAAACCAAATCTTCAAACTCCCTATGACTCCGAATAAATAAGATAGTAAAGAAGATTATTCAGTTCGATGATACATTTCAATTAGGTCCTGAATATACATGATTATATATTATGTGGGGAATATAGTTATGAAAAGTTAACAGACGAACAAATGATAAGAAGCTCATAATAAAGAACACTCAAGAAATAACTTGAGCCAGAAATGCTTTATGAATTATGCACGAGTAGAATAAGCAATAAAAAATGATATCAGCCTGATGGAAAGATATATTTAACAATCAATCCAAGCACCTTTTGGGATCAACTGATTTGAAATCCATACCCTTACAGGAAATACATCATTTAATTAATGCAATGTTGTAACTCACATGAAAGCTTCCCAAGGCCATAACCATTTTGAATGAATTTCAGCTTCTCACAATTTTTGTTGTCATATGAACTCGACTCAAGGAATAACTAGAATACATGAAATGCTATATGCACGAGTAGAATAAGCAAGAAAATCTATATCAGTCTGAGGAAAGAATATTCAACAATCTATCCAAGCTCCTTCTGGATTCAATGTATTGAAATCCATATATTTACAAAGAAATATATCATTGTGCATGCATAAACTCTAAGAGTCGCTCTCATGGTTAACATCAAAGCTTCCAGTAACCATTTCAATGGATTTCAGCTTTTCCCTATTGTAGTGTCAATATGAAATCCTTAGGTTTGTAATATGCGGTTCACAATAAATGGATTTGAGATCTTTACTACTATCAAGTTCAGATATAAACAATGGAGTTTGCTGGGTAAAAATTTTCAAACCCTTGGGAGTATTTGAAATGAGCCGATCCAAATTGAAGCTTACTTCTTTTACATATGACACATAATGAAATAACACTATAACAGAACAAACATTTAGCAACTAGCCCAAACACCTTCTTCACTTTCATTCTGATGCCATCCAAACGATTAAACCCAGGTAGTCAAAATGGAAAGCATGCAACGCTTATAACTAGTTCAAAGTTCAAACAACCCGATTCATTTCTAAGATAGGAGGCATATCCATAACCAAGCCCTCTCTCTTAGGCTGAAGCCTAAAACCCTCTTCAAGCACAATCCAAAATTACAAAGCTAAGATTTTCGAGGTTAATGTGGTTTCAACTTTCAAGTATGTGTGGCACTTTGTCCTACATGACTTCCTTATTTCCAGTTGCCCCCCCCCCCCCCCCCCCCCTAAAAAAAAAAAAAATCACCACCCGCCAGTCAAACTAAATATTCTAAAGAGCTAGTTCAACAGGTACTGAAACAAGCAGTATGGTTTTCCTCGCTCGGCCAGAGCTTTATATTCTAGTTATCAACCTTACACCTTTGAACTCATGTAAGATACGGTGTACGAGGAAACGTGTAACAGACTACTATATTGCCTGTTGATTCATGATGAGTCACGGTACAAATCATTTCTTGAAAAGTTTTACCTATCTTAACCATGAAAAATAAAGAATTGAAATAAAAAAAGTCGACGTATTTTCTAGAAAAGCCAAATACACCAATGGATCAACCTTTTTCTCCAAATGCATAATGTTGCGATGCATGAAAAAACAAATTAAACCCTCTGGTTGTATTTTGCTAGAAAAATGTTAAAATACTCTTCAGAGAATAATCTGTCACCCTCATTTTTTATTGGGAACAGGGTATAAATTATGCTCAAAAGCTGCTTTCAGCTTTGTATTTTAAAAAATTAAAAAAAGCTTTGGTTTTTCTTTATTAAGGTCAGAAAACATAATCTAAAGCCGACCATTTACTCGGTGCAACATCAAGCTCCTACCTATCTTCTTAAACTTTTGAAATTCCTATAGCTTCAGGGTTTCAAGTCCTTTTAGAACTTCTATATTCAAGTTGAAATACAGTGAATCTTTGTTACCGGTAACACAAACCTTAAGAAGAAGGAAAAATGATATACAGGCGCACTTCACTAGGATAACAACAACAACAACAGCAAACCCAATGTAATCCCAAAAGTGGGGTCTGGAGAGGGTAGTTTGTACGCGGACCTTACCCCTACCTTGTGAAGGTAGAGAGGCTTTTTCTGCAATTCACTCAGATAATAAAACAAAATCAACTTACAGTACCAAGGGTACAAGTTAGTTTAGGCGGTTAAATGGAATCCACTACCTTAGCATGCGATTTCCGTTGACCAATAAATCCAATTGAGCGGAGACAGAATCTTTCCAAGATTCAAGATCACTGTTTTCTTTCTCCTGCAATGAAAAAAGAGCTTGTTTTTTAAGACAAAAATGTGTGCTTTAGTCTGCTCATTAGCAAACAACAAAGATAGTCATACACACCATATTATCTTTCCATATCAGGAGATCCTTGATCTCCAATTTGCTTTTCTCTAAAAGTTCTGAAATTTGAGAAAGTTCTTTGTCTAGCTCAGGCAAAATGTCACCTTGCCTCTTGCTCAGCTCTTTAATGTACTGCTCCAGGACAGATAAGTTCAACTCAAGCGCTCTCACCTTCTGCAACAGTATTTTCAGGACTGCATCCCCGTGAGTTCTTCCATTTGATTGCTTCCTACGTTTTGTTGTAAAATCAGGGGTAGTGGTTTCTTTCTTTGCTTCATCCAATTTAAAACTTTGCTCTACATCAAAACTTTCTACCCCTTTATTTGTCGGCTCAACCACATTTTGAACGACACCCTTTGTCTCATGGTAGTCAGAACTTGAATCTGGTATCATAGGCAGCATAGCAGTTTTATTAAAATTTTCTGTTTTATCAGCAGAAGGTTCGGGGGAACTTACAATAAGATCCTCAAGCATTTGCTCTATTGCATCAATACCATACACCTCGACAAAACTTATAGTGCAATAAAATTCAGAACCATAATGAGTGAGTAAATTCAGCTTCAAGTATCTAAGCCATTTTGGTTCGGGCAGCTTAAAACACTGAGCATGCTTGACATTTTCGGCAACAAAAGTCCCCAGCGGATTCCACGTCTCAGTTGGATATACCAAACTCCCAGATAACTCAAATTCTTTAAGCATAGATGAATAATGCTCGAAATTTGCAATTTTGACTGCATCAACTAGAGTTTCATCAGCAAGCTCAATAATGAAGAATTTCCCACCCACAGAACAAGGGTTCCTGAGATACTTATCATGATCCTTGTTCAGTACGTTGTTTGATCCTTTCGCTTCTTTATTGTGGGCCACCACTTTAGCACCCTTGGATGACGAGGCATAATTGTAAGGAGTACCGTCAGGCTCAAGCCTATGGGTTATATTTACTAACTGACTTGCTGTGCTACCTCTCTTTTCTTGCTTTGTAATGTTTCTGAATTCTTCAAGATTCGGATAGGTCAAGTGAGTTCTTCCATTTAGTAGCCGATCTTCATTACGCCTGTTATGATCTATCGGTGGCTGCATTTGACATATCAGCATATTGTAACCTAAAATAGTTGATACTACATCCTCCAATGCACTTTTTCTCTGAAGGGAATGCTCAGGGGTTGCATTGTTATCCTTAGGACTACAAGAATCATTAATCTTCACTGATATGTTGAGTTCCAATAGTACTTCAGTTTTGCAGCTTTTCTCTACACTTTCCAGAAACGGTTTAGTGGAGTTGTGAAACTCTTCATCTTTAACACTAGAATTGGTTGCAGTCTCTGCATAAGCAAGAGATGCATAACACCCATTATTACAATACATAACTCAGATTGGGCTACGACAGACCATTACTCTCTTATTTGCTATGTATAAATACATTATGCTCTACATGCTAAACTAGCCTCAACCCCACTAAACATAAGTTAGATTACAAGCGAACATGAAAAGCAAAAGAACAAACCAATAAATAATCGGAGGGAAGAAAAGAACATTACAAGCTACCAAAACCTTCACAGGAAATCGATTCTTATATGAGCTTAAATGGAACGACATGGTCAGTGAGGATATATAGCCGAACCCAACTTGCTTGGGAATAAGCCATAGTAGTTGTTTCTGAAAATGAGTCTAATAGTAAAAAAGTTACTCACGCCCCCGTCTTTAAGCCAAACCAATAAATATATAGCATGTCTCATTTTTTCTCTCTTAAACTTAAACCAAAACCATGGTTAATAATATGTGTTTCCAGCTGAATTTAAGGAAAACTCTAAGAAAAAATTTAAAATTTCAACCTTATTTTACCTTTTATCTCCATCGGCATCACCATGGGTAAAAACAAGAAACTTCAAGTACTAGAACAAATCACTTTAAAATTCATAGCTCTGACTCATAATCAACCAAAAAAATTAAGAAACCAAACCTAAGTGTCTTCAGTTTTTCTTTTTTTGGGTTTCCCACCTGGTGTCCAGTACCTGCATTGGAGCCCGACTATATCCAGATTCGCGCCGCGTAGGGCCCCATTCGGGGGAGCTACCAAGGATTTTTCCATACCCAGGACTCGAACTCGATACCTCTGGTTAAAGGAAGAGCAGCCCCATCCGCTGCACCACATCCTTCCTTTGGTGGTCACTTCAGTTGTTACTAAGCTCCACCTAGAGCTAAATTAACTAAATTTGGTACAAACACTGTGCCCAATTAACTGTAACATTTAATAGCACTGAGTTACAGTAAATGCACAATTAAGAGTATTTAGTAACCATTAACCAAGAAACTAAAAAAGGGGTCATTAGCAAATTAGCATACACATAAAAACCAATATATGGTTTTCTAATTAGCAATTTAGCATACAATTAAACAATAATTACAATAAACTAGCATGTAAGAATTAAATAAAAGAAAACCCAAATGGGAAAACGAATTTTACCTGCATTTCCGTGAACAAACTGCGAATAAAAAAGGAGAAGGGCACAGAAAAATGAAAAGAAGAGCGGCAAAGACAGCTGACGGAAGCTCTTTGTATTGGGTTCATTATGATCTTTGTATTCGACATTACGAAGTTTCTTCATTTCTCAATACTAAATTTCATCATTGTCCTAATTCTATACAAATTTTTTTTACTTTTTTTTTTTTGTGGGGGAATATGATGATTAGGAAAAAGGAGGAGAAAGATGAAAAAAAAAAAAAAAAAAAAGGAATCTTGTCTTTTGTGGAGATCAACCGCTTAAGTTCCCCAACTAGCGGAAACAACTTTTTTCTTTTTCTTTTGTTTCAATGACATTTAGAATATAAGGGCTTGTTTGGATGGATGTTATATATCGTTTTATAATGTACCGTATAATATTGTATTGTATTATGCTATATGCTCGTTTGGACATAAAATTTGATAGAAGATTTTTCCAAAAAATTTTTACTTTTTTTCGAAATTAGCGTTTGTTCATAAAATTTCCAATTTTCACTTGAAGATACATTTTGGAAATTTTCGAAAATTTGAAAAACTACAAAAAGCTGTTTTTCAAAATTTTCACTCAAATCACTCACAAAACTTCAAAAACAACCCAAACTGAAATTTATGTCCTAAACACAACTCTAAATTTCAAATACCATTTTCACTTGAAAAAACTTTCACAATTTTTTCGAATTTTACAATTCTTATGTCCAAACGCCTACTATATTATTTTGATGTATATAATATTTGGATAGATTGTACTCCTATTATTTATCGTCGTTTCATGATGTTATGCACGAACAATATGAAGAATAAACTTATAATACTATAATAAAAAAAATAAGCTACGAGGTAGAATTATTATATAAAAAGGATAGGTTAAAAGATATGAGATTATTTAATAATAAGGAAGACCAAAATGAGAGAAAAAAAATAAGAAAACAACACGAACACACCAAATCGGCCATTCCATAAAGTGACACTTTTTGTTGTTATGTATGGACGAATTTAACGATATGATACAATAAAATTTAAGTAACAATTAAAACAAGCATTGTATTTAAAGTAACAATATGATACAATACAACAGTTAACAACCATCTAAACAAGTTGTAATATAACTAGTGTGGCATCATTTAAATTTTGGACCCAATAAATTGTGAGTTTAATCTGTCAAATGCTATTGAAATTAACCAATTCCTTCATTTTTCTATTTAAACTATTACCTAACTAATCTCAACGTATGTATATTGTACGTGTATTTTGTTTTGATTAGTATTTTTTCGAATCATATATATAAATATTGTGTTTGAGTACAAAAAGAAGAGTTTAAATACCTGAAATTGATGAATAAAATATTGAGCATGGTAAAAAAATTTAATTAGAATAATTTATTCGTATCATTATTTTTAATAATAACAAAAAAAGCTTAAAAATTTATTTACACAATTGAGATGAAAGAGAATAAAAGCTTTAAAGGATATGTTTCATGCATGTAATACAAAGAAATAATTATTTAAAATATAGGTATAATTATAATATACATTATAATAATGTTATATATGATTGGATATTTTGTTCCAACATTTGTATATCTGAAAATTATTTTTCACCTTTTTTTTAATTTTATAAATAAGATTTATTTTCTATAGGTTAGTCCATAATATGAAGTTAAGAAAAAAATTATTAAAAACAACAAATAACAAACCCAATATGGTGCCATAAGTGGATTAAAATTATAATATTAAAAAACTACTAAAGAAAGATAAAAAGTTATAATTTAAAGAGTGAAATAGGTATTTAACCATAGAAAGTTTGAGGTATCTAGTTGAGTAATCTTCCAAGTACTATAGAAACATTTAGTGAATTTTCTAATTACAAACGAAGAAATATTATTTTACTAAGTAATTTCAAATACTTGAGTGATAAACTTTTTTTTTGAACCATCCAAAAGAAATTTTTTCCAATGGTCACGAACTTCAAATTCCAAGTAATGAACTCTTTAGTAAATGTATCAATTGTTATACCAGTCAATCTCTAATTACTAACCCATTAAATATCAGTGTTATTCTCTTTTACAGGTAATCCACATAAGCAGAAGTTAAACTTAAATTGAGAGCAAAAGAGAAAGGCCATTTTGCAAGCAATTTATGTGTGATTCGAGTGTGCAATCCTGAAGCTACTTGAACCAGATAGAAGAACTAGTTCCAAGTGTCTATCTCTTATTCTAGTTCAATTGTAGTAGGTGATTTTACATTGTACCTTTCAGCTTTCATAGTAGCAATTGTATTAGGTACCTAGAGTGTTCGAGTTAGAGTTAACTTGAAGTTGTCGCAACAGTTGAGGTTGTGTGCCACAACGGGATTAGAGTTAATCCTTAGGTTTACAAGGAGTTTTATAAATGTTGTTTTGGCTCAGTGATTTTAGTGAAAGTTTGGGAAAATCCTACTAAGTAGTGGGTCGTGGGTTTTTCACCTTTTGAGCCAGGTGTTTTCCACGTAAAACTCTCTATGTTCTTTATTTTCTTTACTTATTATTCCGCAAACAGTAGCAGTTGGAACACATAGAAGAACCAGGTCCTTCTATAGTTCAGTTAAGCGAAAATTGGGTACCACACAAATCACTCCTCCCCTCCCCCCCCCCCCCTCTTGTGTGGTATTGCCATTTAAAACATCAATTGGTATCAGAGTGGGTTATCCTTGAAGAAGTTAACACCTTAGGAAAAGATCAAGATGAGTGCACCACCTGGAAACTGGGAAGGACAATCCACTGCTAGGCCTCCACTCTTTAATGGTCAGTACTATTCTTGGTGGAAGAACATGATGAGAGATCACATCATAGGAGAAGACTATAAACTCTGGGACATAGTCACTGATGGTCCCCTGGCGACTACAAAGAAGAATGCTGAAGGAGTGGACGTGCCAAAGACAAGAGCTGACTGCACTGTTGAAGACTTGAAGAAATGGGAAAAGAATGCCAAGACCAAGAAATGGCTTGTGTGGGGACTGGGTCTAGACGAGTACAACAAGATTCAAAGTTGTACCACTGCTAAGGAGATATGGGACACTTTACAAGTGGCTCATGAAGGAATTCCTCAAGTAAAGAGATCAAGAGGAATACTATTATATTCTCAATATGAGAATTTCACTATGAAGGAAGGAAAAACTATCTAGGAGATGTACACAAGGTTCACAACACTAACAAATGAACTTAAATCTCTTGGGAGAATTATCCTTGAAGAAGAAAAGGTTGAGAAAATCTAGACAAGGGTCTTACCGGTGACTTGGGAAAGCAAAATCACTGCTATTCAGGAATCAAAGAACATTGCTACTCTCAAGTTGGATGAACTGATTGGAAACCTCACTGCCTATGAACTGAGAAGGCAAACCACGAAAATGGATGCACCCAAGAAGGAAAGGAGTCTGGCTCTCATAATAGCTGAAGGTGCAGATCTGGAGGATGATGAAATGACCATGATCACAAGGGATTTCAAAACGTACCTAATGAGAGGAAAGGGTTCTTCAAGAGGTACAACCTTCAACAAACCAAGGGCTCCTGAGAAACAAACCAACGAGGGTTGCTACAAATGTGGCAAGACTGATCACATGATCAAGAACTGTCCTCAGTGGGAAATTGAATGGAAGAAGGAAAGGGCTGAACGAAGGAACGGGAAGAAGGAAGAGGTTCAACCTAAAAAGAACAAAGGATCAACAAAGGCTATGGTTGATGCTTGGGGAGAAACATCAGATGAGGATTCAGAAGATAAAGCTGGAGATGAACAAGCACTTATGGCCATCGGAGAATCAGATGATGAACAAGAGGTAAGTGCGCTTCATCTCAAAGACAAGATTAAATTTCTGTCTAAAGAAAGGTTATCTGAACTATTGCTAGACTTCATCGATGAGTCTGAGATAATTAACAATGAGAAGGAACAACTTTTTAGGGAGTGTGTGATCTTAAAATCCAAGTGCAAAAATCTAGAATCTAGGGCTAATGTGAGTGACAGTAAAAATGTTGAGTTAAAGAACCAGGTTCTTGAACTCGACACCAGTGTCCTAGAACTTAGGTCTGAAAATTTAAAACTGAAATTAGGAACAAGTAAGAAGAAAGTTGATCACACACATCTCACCTTAGAAGAAAACCTAGGAAAAATGAAGGATGAGTTGTACAAGAAAGATGAGCAGATAAGAATCTTAAAAGAAGACCTAGGGAAGGTAAAGCTTAAACTAGACAGAACTTGCAAGTGGAATAAGGCTTCTGATGCACTATCCTGGCTACAAGAATATCACAGTAGCAGCAAGAGAGGACTTGGCTATGGGACCCAAGCACCTAAGTGGGATCCCAAAAGCAAGTACATCACTCTTCCTGAAAACAAAATCTGCACACACTGTGGTAAGACTGGTCATTACAAAAATGAATGTAATGCAAAAGAAAAGGCCAGTCAAAAGAACAAAACCTTTGTTCAAGAGAAAAATGGGCTGCCTGGGTGGGCTAAAAGGAATTTAATTTACCCCAGAGACCCAAACTAGTTTGGGTTCCTAAGACTAACCCCTGATTTCTTTTTACAGGTCCAAGTGAAGGGAAGTATCCAATTATGGTACATGGATAGTGGCTGCTAAAAACATATGACTGGAAGCAAGAACCAGTTCCTTTCACTTGAGGACTTAAAAGGAGGTAATGTCTCCTTTAGAAATGGGAAGAAAGGTGAGATTATTGGGGTTGGAAAGGTAGGTAAGACAGACTCACATTCCATTGAGAATGTCTACTTGATAGATGGCTTGAAATATAGCCTAATCAGTGTATCACAACTGTGTGACAGAGGTAACCTTGTAGCATTTACCTCTACCAAATGCTTTGTGATTAATCTTACCACTGACAAGATTGTTTTGCAGGGAAAAAGAGTTAACAATATTTACATTGTAGATTTGTCCACTCTTTCAGAAAATGAACTCGCTTGCTTGAGTGTGTTGGACAATGATCCCCTCCTGTGGCACAAAAGACTTGGTCATGCAAGTCTGAATCAACTCAACAAATTAGTCTCCAAGGACCTGGTGATAGGGTTACCTAACATCAAGTTCAAGGAAGACAAAGTTTGTGAGGCCTGTGCAAGGGGGAAGCATGTAAGATCATCCTTTAAAAGCAAGAAAATGGTAAGCACAACCAGGACGATACTGGTTCATATGGATCTCTGTGGTCCAATGAGAACTTTGAGCAGAGGTGGTGAGAAATATGTGATGGTACTTGTTGAT